GCTTGCAGAAGTTAGTTCCTCTTTAACGAAGACAAAAACAAAAAAGTGCAAATACTGTAAAGCACATCATTAGTCATATACAGGGGACACACACACCTTTCACCAGATGTATACTTCACTTTGCCAAAATATTTTGATCTGAAACCATGCTGTTAGCCGACACCCCATTAGAGAAGATATACGACAGGGACAAGTCCTTTCATGTTTTGCCAGAATCCTATTTAACAAAGACTAAACATGCCCCTTCATACATGTCACACAGTGTAAGTAGAGTTTAATCTAACTGTTCTCTTCCTCAGTTATTCTTGGTTTACACTTTACATTTTAGACATTAAGTGCATTAAAATCAACTTTGCAGCATATGATAAGTAGTAAGTGGAGGGTTTTAGTAAACCATTTCAGATTCCGACAAGCCTGAGCTGCGACTTTTTACTTACTGCAGGGAGGTTGAGATTAGTGCAGAGTTTGTCAATCAATGCGGCAAACCATCTAGATATCAGATCCTGTAACTGGTGATTCACCTACCTAGCAGAGGAAGAGGAATGCAATACAAATAGAGGCTAAAATGGCACCTTCCAAGGCTGTAAAGGATAGGTGGGTGTAGCTCCACTTTAAGTCCATCTATGACTACCCTTTCCACATGGTGACAATGCTGCCATGCAATTTCACTGCACTCATTGTCACCTTGTCAAACTGATCTACCAACAGGCAATAAAACTAATAAGTGCTGTGTTGTTGCTAGAGACAGATTTATGTATTTGTTTTTATAATTTTGCCTATAGTTGCACTTTGAGCACATACCAAAATAAATGCAATCATGGTTGCCATATCTCACTCTTTCGAAGAGAACAAGGAACACCTTCCAGCGCAATGTATTTAGGCAATGGACACACTCCCCTGTTATGCGGAAAATTAAGAATTTATATGCCAAAAATGACTAGTTAAATCAGATTTTTTTCCCACCCTTTTCCTTAATATTGGTTTTTCGAAATGCGAAACAAGATAAGAGATGAGAAAGGATTTAGTAAAAGACCACCACTTTTGCTAGTTAAAAAGAACCTTTACATAGGTATCTGTATATCAGACCAAAAAAAGGAGGGGCAACTGAGGGACAGAGGGATTTGGTTCCAAAAGATGGACAGTCCCTCCAAATGACAGACAGTTAAGAGGTATGTATTATATACCCATCACTCTTCAAATAGAACTTTCTCATAGATATATCTGTGCATCACACCATAAAGAGGGACAACTGAGTAAAGCGGGATACAGGGATTCTGTTCCAAATGATGGACAGTTGGGTGGTATGTATTATATACCCATCACTCTTCAAATAGTACCTTCTCATAGATATCTTTAAATCACATCATAAAAAGAGGGACAACTGAGGAGGCGAGGGACAGAGGGATTTGGTTCCAAATAATGGACAGTTGGGAGGCATGTATTATATACCCATCATTCATTAAATAGAACCTACTCAGAGATCTGTACATCACACCATAGAGGAGGGACAACTGAGGAGAAAACAGGGACAGAGGGATTTATTCTCAAATGAAGGATAGCTGGAAGGCATGATCGTGCCTACAAAACATATGTAGTTCATGTACAAATAGCTGTGAAGAACTTGGCCCAACTACTATCACTAAGCTTTATTTTAATAGAACGAAATTCTGCCCGATAGCCCATGCATTTTATTGAGCAGTAGCATCTACATACAGCGGTCACTATATATAAACGTGTCCAGGGTTATTTATGATTAACGAGTAGAGTTGTGAGCACACATACCTTCTTAGTGGGCATCTTAAGTTTCAAAAACTCAGCTTCTCTGCACAGGACATTCCAGGGAGCGTGGATTTTCACAAATCCCACACCATGCATCTTCGTCTACACCGAGAGAGAAATAGAAAGAAAAAGATAAAATTGAGAATACCAGCTTAACTACATACAAGGATCTAATGGCTTATCATAGTTAATTTTATATCCATAAGTATATGTTTTTGGTGACATGATATTCTGGAGAGAAATCTTAGTATAGTCCCACAAACTAAACCTAGAGCAGAAGGGTTCCCATCAGACATGCATGTAGAAACACACCAGTAAAGCAGAAGACTACAGCAATACATACTGTATGTATATACACAAATTTAAAATACACCCGCTAATCCACAGATGTAACTATTTGAAAATTACACTAAGGCAGCCAATTGACAGGTGCACTTTTCGGAGGAGAACGCAGATGGTGATGGTAGGAAATATCATTGCATTAGAAAGATTAGAGGGGAGAGATCATACATGAGCGGATACGTTTCATAACATTAGGGTGTGTATCACTCGGCTGTAGATCCTCAAATCATCTCTGAATTGGTGCAGACACTGTCCTTCCTTCTGGAGGGGGGCTACTTTTGTTCCCCATGGTCCCGATGTGTGTTGTAAAGTAGCCGCGGATCCAAGCTCGCTCTCGTGATGGACTACAAACTCAAATGCAATTTAGTAAAGTAAACATGAGATTATAGTCCATCACAGGAGTGAGCTTGGAGTGGTGGCTACTTTACAACACTTACAGGGACCATAGGGGACAAAAGTAGACACCGCTGTGGCTATTTTAGAAAGAAAAATTGTAAAATTAGGTATACACGGGTAGATTTTTGAATGAACATTCGTACGAAAAATCCCATTGGAACAAATCGAACATACCGTCACACACCATAGGCTTGGCATCGGTCATTCGAAATTTCGTTATTCATTTTTATCTAACATTTGGCTTGGAAATGAATGGAGTTTTTCAAACGAAAACTACATTCACTGTTAGAATGTTATTTGTTCGAGAAAAATGTTTCAACATGCCCCTTCGAAAATGTTTGGGGTCATGGTCATCTGTTGATTGCACCATACTAAATTGATAGATATTTGAATGAATGTTCTGAAAATGACTGTTTGTGGGAAATTTTAACCATGTATACCCGACTTAAGGCTTTCTTATGGAGGCACCTGGAATGTATTCATCTGATTTATTCTGAAAGTTCAGTTGGGCTTTACTTGCTTATAGGAGTTAGGGTAAACCTGTCTTCAGATATGTTCACAGGTTTCCCTCTCTGCTGTAGACCTAGTGCACTTCACTGTGCATTGACTAGCAGTTAGAATCAGATCAGGTTGGCTGACATAGTAGCCACTTTGTTTGGTGCACAGATAAGCCTTATGTAAACAAACCAGCCAAGACAACTAGCAAATATGAAGGTTGAAAAGCAAGGGGTGTTGGGGGGGCAGCTAGTTACACTCAGGTACCAATAACAAAAGGGCTGCATTTGTACACTGCACGGTTCCATACAGACCCAGATATTATATTACATAAAGATAGCAATGACACAAACCAGCTGGGCCAGATCTCACATCAAGTCATCAGGGTTTTATGAAGCCAGGATTAGTCCACTGTCAAACACAAGTAGTAGGAATACACAGAGCAGGCCTATTTAAAGGACAGGAACACACATGGCTTTATTACAATATATTGGTAATTAGCAAACTGTACCCTGTGTATAAGCAAGGGTTATAACGTCTTCACCTGTACAATCAGGACCTAGTTCTAGCATTTATCACTTGATCTGTTGAGCTAACATAACTGCTGCTCACTACAATATTGCCACACATTGTACAACTGAGCTGTGCAATTTACACACATTTTAGATTTACCAACTACTATGTAGTTTTCTTGCAAGTGGTACTTATATAAAAGGCATAGGGGTGGCCCTCTCAGGATCAGTAACATGCCTCCCAATTTAATCAAATAAAGTTTTGCATTATAGCACAACGCATGTAGGTAAAGGACACACCCCTGTCCCACCTCCCCCACATGGACCTTGACAAATGAATGCACATAAACTGATTGGTTAAACCCACTAGGTGTTTTTTTAACTCTACTTTTCCTTGACATCAGCTTTTTGAAATAACAAATGCAATTTAGAGAAGCCTTTCTTAACCTTTTAAAACACAGGAGGATTCACTTAAAATAACCTTCAGGTCTCAAACGTCTGCCATTACTATAGCTACAGCTCATGGTATATTAGGGTAGTGGTCAGTGGGAAGAATGCTCCTTAGAGATTGGAGATCAGTGACAAGGATGCCCCACTTAAAAGATAGCTAAAAAGATCTTTGGCATCAGTGGTTGCAAATTTGAAAGGCGGAAATTGCTGATTGTTCAAGTAACCCTTCTGGAGGGAAACCTAGTTGACAAAGGCCAACTTAGAGGTTGAATGAAAAGTTCAGAGACACACACACACACACACACACACACACACACACACACAAAGTGTGTATTTTTATAGAGGTCAATACATCAGACCAAAAATTGGAAAAACTGAGGAAGAAAGAGGGACAGAGATAAGCAGAACTTGCTTCCAAAGAGGTACTGCTTCCCTCAATGAGGGACTGTATGAACCCCTAACAACCCTTTGGAGAAACCCTGGTTGACTAAGGCAGATTTAGAGGTTGGATGAAAGGGTTAAGGGCAATAAAACACAGTTGACACATCAGACCAAAAAAACAAGACAACTAGGAGAAAGAAAGATGGTCTGTTGGGAGCCATACAGATCCAAGTTTACCTGAAGGTAAACATTGGCAATCACAGGTTACTACAACTTACTGATTTGTAAAGATGCAAAGAAAGTGAAATGTTGGCGATACTTTTATTGACTGATCATTTGGAGTGCAAGTATTCAAAAACATATTCAAACAGAAGTCAGCAAACGGAAATATATTTTCACTTTTCTACTGTTATCTATGGCAAATGCAATAACAAATCTTACTACTAAACCTGCTTTGAGTTAAAGTCTGTGTGATAAAGGATTACTAGGACTATGAAACTACTCGAGGCAAGGGCATATACGATTATAACCTGGCAACCTGTCACTTGCACTTAGATCAAACATCCATAATGCTAGGAACATGGATTCTCAATATAGCTCACTGTAATATATTTACTAGGAACATCCCAAAGCACAGCAAATTAAGTTTTGTGCCTTGAACTCCCTGAAGCTTCTTGGGTTTGTAACAGAAAAGTTTTATTCAGAATCCCAATACTCAACATGAACCTAAAAAAGGGCAGAAACCATCATAAAAACCTCAAAAGGGCTTACTGTGTAACATTGTCCACTTCACAGAGCCCACACCATCGAAATGCCCACAAGCTTCCCCCCAGGGACCTAAACCAGAAAAATATCTATAATCCAGGTGCTCTCTGCTTTTTAGCTCTTTCAAGGAACGTTTATTAAGAGTTACACAAGGTTTTGTTGTTATTGCAATGTTAAGGTACAGGTCTTCCTACACTAGTGGGACAAGGTCTTCGGTTTTATTCCTACTATACAGCGTACACACACATCAACATAAGGAGCCAGTGCTCCCCAAACAGCAAAGAAAACATCTCTATTTTTGTATTTGGTTTCCAGACCACATCTATAATTCTGTGCAGGACCCTAGTGAGAGGGGGAGCTTGCCTTCTCAGCTATGCTGCTGTTGTCACCATTTTTTTCATTTGGGATTCCTTAGTGGAATACACAGAGCATACGATTGGGGTAGTTTTGCTTGAGCACACTGGGAAAGTAAAAAACTGTGATGCACTTTGAAAGTCAAGCTTTCCTGGGATGAGCATTGGGGATCGCCATTGCCAATCCCCTTTTGAAGATGCTAGTTGTCTGGCTAGTGCACTGGCCAACTAGGTTTGATAAGGTTTTAAGACCCTAACGTGAAACAAGTAGGCATATCGGTAAGGTCAGAAATCCTTAATTGCATGTTTGTTCCATGTGAGGAAAGCAATGTGGATGAGCAAGAGGGCAAACATCACAGCCATGACAAATAGCATTTATTAGGCTATTTCTTAAATCGATTTTTCTCTTGAGTCAAACTTGGCCAGGAGTTACAAGCGGAGGAGTCTTCATTTTATTTTTTATTCTTCCACATGTGCCTGGTAGTGAGGAGGCTGGGCTTACTGCAAGCTTTGTTCACCTGAGTTTACCGAAGCTTGCTTAAAACTCTGACCACCTCCTCCCAAACCCAATCAGTTGCAGGGAGGAGCATTCCCCATCACAACAGTATACGTCACAAAGGTGCAGAAAATGCCCATGCCACAACTGCCACCATGGATTGGGTCAGAAGGAGGGGGTGGCGCTCAAGAGTTCTGAGTGGGCTTGGGCAAACTCAGGCAAACTGAGTTTGCACCAAACCCAGCCCCATCCCTAGTGCCTGACTGCCAAGCAGGATATACACTGGTAGATTTTCTAACAAACGCAAATTCTCATTAGAACGTTCGATATTGCCAGACACTTGACAAATGTCATTCAAAATTTAATTTGAGTTTCATTTTGGAAACAAATAGTTTCCGTTTCTGTCCTTCCTTCTGGAGGGTGGCTAATTTTGTTCCCCATGGTCCCTGTATGTGCTGTAAAGTAGCCACCGCTCCAAGCTCACTCCTGTGATGGACTACAATCTCATGTTTAGTTTACTAATTTGTACTGGGATTGTAGTTCATCACAAGAGAGTGAGCTTGGAGCAGTGACTACTTTACAGCACATACAGGGACCATGGGCTACAAAAGTAGCCACCCTCCAGAAGGAAGGGCAGTGTCAGTACTAGGGTTGCACAGATACCAAGTACAGTACTCGGTACAAGTACATATACCGATACTTTTGAGCTCCAAGACTAGAGAAAAATGCAAAAATTAGGTGGCAGCTGTCATTTGTAAGGAGCACACGGAGCTCCTGGGATTTGTACATCTCTGTTTTAATGTACGATTTTGTTTTTATAAATATAAAGGGATGCACAGATACCAGTTTTGCGAGAACGAGTACTAGTACTTGTCGAGTACTTACAAGTACGAGTACTGATAAATTTTTGTT